AGGAGGGCATGGAGGAAGACGAGAAAAAAGGAGCCGCCCGTTATCGGACGGCGCGCGTAATCGTTATTACCGTGGTCGCGTTTACGCGAACACGATGACGAGGGGGAAGTTTTCTGCAAATGTCACGGGAGAAGTCTCGAACGGGGCTGGCCACAGCTGTTTCTATAAATAACCACCCCCGATTCGATGCAACAGGACGCGAGCGCGCGCCGGATTCTGTATCTTCTCCCGCGAAACCCGCGGCTCACGGCGAACTATGGTTATTGACCCTCACACACGCGCCGCCCGCCAACTATTTCCGTTCGAGAAAATAATGAACCGCGGATCTCGGCTCGTAATTTAACTTCGTAATGAGGATTCTCCGCGAGTCTCCGTCCGCTTCTTTGATTTATGACACTCGACGTCGGAACTCCGCGCGACCGCGGTTTATTGCGCGGGTCGATCGGTCGTCTCGCGATTTCCTTCCTTCGACCGATCTTCGAACGCCATCAGTCGATGACCATTGGGGTCAAAGATAACGAAAAAACAAACAAGTCAAGAAAGAGTAATATTTTTAATAACACGCATCGATTGAAAGGAGATTGAGTTTGATAATGCATGGGATTGTATGAAATAATCTTCGAGTTTGACGTCAACCAAAATGGAGCACTGTAAGAATAGAGCTTTTATCAGTTTTTATACTAAAATTGTCCCCTCTGTTTATTCTTGTAGGAATTAGTTTCTTTTTAATATGGCGGTATAGAGGTGTACGACTGAAAAATATGTTTTGGTGTACGTTTGACCGTTGTGAGATAATTATGTACCGTAGGAAAGTGTAAATTGTAGCTCTGGCCAAAATGTGTTTGACAGTCGTGTCCCAAGGGATAGGTGGCGGCGAGTAAACAGCGAAATACTTCGCAGACTGTTGCGTCACTCCGAAACAACAGCAGCGCGACGACCGGATGCAATTTGCGGTTTCGTTCGGGACACTTCCACGCGCGCTTCGGCGAGATCAAAGGCTCGTTAGCAACCGTATTGCCGTAAAACGGCGGCAAAATGGATCGGGGTTTCCTCTCGGTTGATCGAGCGACTGGAGTACGCCGACCTTCGATTAAGAGCGTTTATAGCGGTAATAACATCGATTCGTGCCTGCCCCCGCCTCTGACCCGTGTATTTTATCAATTACTGCTAAACTAATACCAATAACTCGATGTTGTAAATATTATCCTTCGAATCGCGTCTTCGATGTCTTATCCGTTACATTTCGTAACCCCTTATCAACGAAGCCTTACACAAACTCCAAATTTATTCATTTATTTAATGCAAATATATTTTCTAAAAAAGAGGAGTAACATTTGGTATCTCTTTACTGTAAATTTATCGATTTGTATTTTAGAACTGTGAAGGCAGAAGAGGCTTGTTTGCACATCAAAATTTGTTACTCATCAAAGATTCGAATAAAAAAAATTATCAACCACACAGTACATTTGACAATATTTTCTGCTCTAAAACTGAATAAAGATTGAAACTGTAATTTCTGAAGAAGGCCTCGAAACAAAGAACTTTCCAATTTACTTACTACTCACAGGTCATCAAGTCTTATGTATTAAAATCAACATATTTTTACATTCGTGGTCATTCCTAGTACGAACAAATTTAAACAAAATTAAATGATATACGTTTGACGAATTATTCGGAATTAAATCGTAGGTAAAGGGGTTAAAGAATGAATTCGTTTGAGAATAGTCGCGTGGAGCGATAAAATGGATTCGAATCGGGGCTAACTGGTTGGACATTGATTTCTGGGGTAGAATTCTACGAGACTGCGATCGTCGGACGTCGTCTCGGCCACCGAGCAACGGTCGTTACGCACTTTGCGGTTGATACTGCAATCTCTGGACGCGAACCGGACAGGATCGACATCCGAGATTCGGGGAACGGGGCCGTTGCATCGCGTTTTACGGCGCGTTTTACTCCCGGTGTGCCTGACCATCGGTTTTCTCCTCTCTCTGTTCCTCTCGTTCCTCAGCCAGGTCTCTCCTCCTACTCTCCTGTCGATCCGACCGACCGCGCCGTCTCTTTCGCCGTGAAAGAGGCTCGGGCAGCGGTGCAGGGTCATGGCCGGACATCGTCTGCCATACTCTCGACTCCTACACCCACGCTACATCTGTTATACTCGCCCCCCTTTCGTTCGCTGCACCCTCGTAAACTCGCGTTTCATTATGCGCCCGAATATAAGTTACCGCAATTTACGCCTCTCGCAACTTTGCCTCCCACCCCCCCTTACGCGTCTATTTTCCAGCACAATAACCTAAACCAAAGTCAGATCGTTTCACATTCGCGGATTTACAGGTGGAAACGAGCTAACTTCCGAGATAGAAATTTTATTCCTACAATTTACTATTTACTTTCACGATATGAGATTTTGAATTTGGGTAAAACTAGATTTTTAAGGGGACCCGATATAAGGGTGAAAACGTTTGTTCGAAGAAATGAATTATGTTTGGAGTACGTGTACCAGTGGCAGATAAAGCTTGCTTGCGATAAGAGCCACTGATATATCGCCTATCAGGAATAATCAGTATATTATTGTTATACAGTACAAATATTGCAGTAGTGCTGTGCAAAATGCAGTTTATAGTTTCTTCTCTTTTAATATAAATACATATAAATATTATCCATTACTTACTGGTAGAAGAATCGTAGATTTGTAGTTGGGTTACTAGCTGTTTGAAATTCGAGTTTCAGTCGGTCATTTTTACGAGTCCTGACCATATTGTGCGAGTACAATAATATATACACGCATGTATCGATATACGTTGATATATTTTACACTATACACTTAAAATTTAACCGTATCAAAAAAGTTATGTGGCGAAACTCTGCCAGAAATTAAGCCCCGTTGTCGAGGCACTAAAAGCTACAACTACTCATGCAATTACAAAGTTCTACTACGAAAGTTCGACAAGCAAGTTAGTAGGGAAAGAAAGTTAGACGCCAATAATCCAAGCACCACTTCGAAATCACACGAAACAGTAGTCGAAATTAATTCGTCGAGTGTTTTTCGCGTCGAGGCGAGATGCGTGGTCACGATGACTCGAATTCGCGAAAAAAGGAGTCGGAACATCTCGCCAGATCGAATGGACCGACATTTTTCGACGGTGATTCACGGGGACGATGACCGTCGTCCAGCGTATCGAAATTTTCGACAAAAATTGTGCAACCGACGCGTGTCAACGACCTCCACGATTTTCGATCTTACTCAACTTTATACCTTATTATAGCATATACAATCTGAACATAAACTCTACACTTTTAATCAATCTTTAAACCCCCATTATAAGGACATTTGTCTTCATAATGATTGCTTTAAAAATTAATTACGAACCAAGAAATAAACTCTGTCACATCGATTAAGATAAAGAATAAGCTGTTTTAATGCTCGTTCACACTATATATGCTAGAGAATTCGTTTCGAATATTCGTACCTTATCGTCTACGCAACATCGTCGAGGTGACTCGTGAGTTTACAGGACTTACGGGACTCCTGACGACGAATTCGACGTTTCTCGTGGAAAACACGTTTCCGTAGAGACTTTCCTCGTCGACAGTGAATCCGGAATTCGAAGCCGCGCTTAAAGTGGTCCGCGTTGTTGCGCGCGACAACCACGTGTTGCACTCCTAGTCGATACATACCACACGCCGACGTGCGCGTCCTACTTTGTGCTCGCGTTTCTCGAGTGAAGTATAAATCAATGCTTCGTGAGATTTCAACGGATCACAGTTTATTCAACAGCTTTCACGGTATATACGTGTTACAAGATACAAAAATTGTATGCGAGTAGAAAAAAAAGGAATAAATACATAAATAAATAAATACAGAATATTGAGGAACAACACCGACATTTCGCCAATGCGCGTGACATTGAGGAAATTTACAATCTTTCCGAGCGAGAAAAGCACAATTTTCACAGAAAAGATGCTGGATAAGAAAATCTGCTAACAAGTTACTTTATCGTTTCAGGATAAATACCAGTTCCGTTGACTACAATTTGGTATTGCCATTCGATGCAAACAGCCCCCCGAACAGAGGCAAAGCAACGTCTCGCGGACCATGTCATCGTTCTCTCATGTAATCGCGGCTAAACGGTCCCTCGTCTCCTGGTCGCGCGTCTTTCTGGAAAGCCGTTGGGACCAATTTCGTGGTAAGAGCGAATCTTCCGAGCGTGAGTGGGAATTGCGGGCAGGGAGAGAAAGAGTGAAAAGTGCGCTCGAATCACGCGACGAACGAACGATCTGCCGATTCCCTCTGCGTACAGCGACGAACACCAGTCATTGCACTAACCGATTCTCGGAACAAAATTGCTCGCAGACGCGACACATTTCATTTACATCATAATACTGTTATTCGTACGAGAAGCACATTTTCAATTTGTGATTTCAGTATTTAAATAGTAGAACAATAATCTGGTGAAATAATTGGACTTCTTTTCGCCATGTGTCACCTTTTTAAAACAATATTTTCTTTTTTTCGAGACTCTACTGTTGAACTGTTTCATACTGTTCAACTTGAATAAATATATTTTTAGAGTGATAGAACGTTATTAGAAAAGAAAAGTTTGATATCTACTGCTTGAGTAACCACTGGAAAAATCTTAAAATATGTTACGGAGTACAGTGAAGAAAATCAAAGCCTGAATTTGTGACGAAACTAGTCTGCATTAACAGAAAGGAGCTTCCAATATTTTTAACTTTTAACACGAGATAGAAACTTGCCATGAAAGATATATAAATTTGTTCTATACTCGAATGCAAGACGAGGAAGTAATGTCTCGCGTCCCCGACAAGTTTTCTACCGAAAATCGTTCGGTGCCAACATCTGCGTTCGACACGCTGTAATTTCGAGCCGACTTACGGTGGCATGCAGGTCGTTCATCGCGGGTAGTTCGACAGCCGTGCAATGAGTCGCAGTAAAGCCACGAAACCGTCGAGGACGAGCGTTAAAAAATCGTACAACTCACGGTTTCGCGACGGTTGCTGAACGGTCCTGCTTCGAAGGACCTGTTGCAGGGCGGCGTAGAGATCGAGCATGAGCTGCTCCAGCTGCTGGCTCTGAGCCTCCGCGTCGTCGTCGGTGGGCAGCGAGAACGGGATCGCCATCTCTTGCTCGTAACAGGTGCAGCTGACGGTTACTGTTCTTCAACGCCGTTTTGCTTGCGACCTCTTCGTAGCTCGGATCGTATCGGCCACTGCAATCGAACCAATGTCCGTGGATCAAGCACTAACCACTTCAATTTACCCCTCTATCGCACGCACAACGTAACAACGTATCTTCGCGTGTTTATCGTTAAACAACGATCGAACGGCGACCGAAGGTGAGTCGAAAAACGTACCTGTCCTCGCTATCGACGCGTCAACGTATATATTTTCGTGGCACACACGTGGCCCTCGGGATTCGACGGCGCACGCTCCAATGTTCGTCGCCGCGACTACCAACAAGCTATCGCCGCCGCGTATTTGCCCGTAGAAAACGCACGTGGCTCCGCGAGCAACGCGGCAACTCGACCGAGGATTCGACGACCCCGATGTGTCACAACAAACCGTCGAGAGCACCTATCTCTCCGTCTCGAGTCTGTCAATATCGTCTTCTGAAGCGCCTGTAGGGTGGATCCTCGAATGGATCACTTTCCATAGGTGCTGAATACGGTATATACTGTCCGTTCTATCTGTCAACGACACGATCGACGGAGGATCCGACAACGATGCTTGCGTGTATCTCTTCGACCGTGAACACCGATGACAGTTCGATATCGTATCGCGCGACACGGGCACAGAGAGAGTTCAATGTTCTCGCAGAAATCACGACACACGATGCACTGGGAGTCTGATTCGCGGTATGCGTCGACAACGTTCCCGGTGTCTCTCCTCTCGCACGGGGGGATTTGCACAATAACGAAACTTGGACGCGCGAAGAAGCAACCAACAAAAACGATCCCTCTACGCGCTCGATTATACCTTTCCCTTTTCCGTTATTCGTCGGATTCGCACGCACACGGTCGACGGGGGTGGTGTAACACGCTGCGTCTCGACTGGACTCTGTCCTCTTTGGCGCGACTGTATCACACGCGCGTGCAAAACGCAAGAGAGAAAGCAAAAAGCAACACGAGAACTCTCGACTGAGCTTAGGTAAACGAGAAACACGTCTTCACTCCTCGAGGTCTGGCGTGGTAATGATTCTGTGCTTTCGTTTCACAGCCACTCGGCCCGCACGTTCTGCCTCGCGGCGGCAACCGACTTCCCCCACCATCGTCAGCCCCGCGCGGCCGGTTCGTCAGGCGGTGGGGGCACGATGCGCGCGCATACGGACTCAAAAGACGCAGGGAAAGGGACGAAAGAAACAGTCATCGGCGGGAGGGGGTGGAAGTAAGGGAGAGGGCGAGCGTGCGTGAGCCTCGACGAGACTGTGTATAGCTGCTTGCGCGTGGTCGCGGCGTTGTAAATTTACCGGTTAGGGTCAAGCGGGGTAAAAAGATGGAACCGAAAATCGAACGCGATTCGGGGAACCCCTCAACTAGCTCAGTCCCGATGCACTATAGACCAGGGACGAGAGTTTTCATGCTTCGTTTTTTTATTCTCGATGTTCTTTCGATACGAATTTTCTTGACTCATTGTAAGGGGAAAAACGCTCGAGGATTTTCTTCTCGAACGCGAAAAAACATGCTCGCGGGGGCACGGGCGAATCGTGTAGCATGTAGCAAGATCTCTGACGGGAGAAAGAGCGAGAGGGAACGCTTGGAAGCGATTCGTGGAGGCGCGTGCGACACGACCGAACGACACCCGAGCGTAACTGCGTAGTTGAAGGAGTTTCGCCGATACGACGTTCCTACGTAGCGGGATATTATCGCGTACGAAAAATCGTCGTGTTGCTCCGACTATCTCGTCGGTGGTGCGATGGGGGACGGAGTGAAATTTAGGGGGTGTCGTGTACGAAGAACATTTTTAAATTTTATCCGGTGGACTGCTCGTCGAATTATTCTATATCCAAATATTTGAACGCTTTGAATAGTGTGACGTGGACTGTACAAACTTTATTTAGATTTTTTGAAGTCGCTATATTTTCAACGGATTCGGTGATGTTGATGTTTGCAATTTTTATGACAGTGAGACACGCGACAAGAACTCGCGTTAATTTAGACGACGAGAGATGAGCGCAAAAATACAGACGCGCCGTGGCGTATGAATAAAGGAAAGACGTGACGGTGTTTAATTTCGCGGTAATTCGCGTGGACGCGGACGATATTCATGGGATCGCAATACTTGGCTAACTGACAATTTTTTATGCGGCCAATGAATGGGTAAACAGGCAGAGAAACAAGAATACAATGTGCTCCTACTGCGAGCGCTGATTCACAATGCATACGATGCACCAGCTCGCTGGCTACTGGTCGTACAATGCAATCACATAAATAAGTATCGGCATATTACTCCGTTCGGGGACAATGGGATCAAAAAGAAAAGATCGGAAAAAGAAGATCGAAAACTCATAAAATGGAATATTTCAGATGGCCGATCATAAATGTTTATTTTTTTTTCTCCTCGCTCCTCTCTCTTCCTGTCTTCGCATTCTTGAAACCTTGCGCGGTATCGATCTTATCGATAATTTATTATAACAAACCACTGGCAGATCGCACGAAATAAACGTCGATCTTTCAATTAACGACCTCGATTCGGAAGACTATTTTTCATCAGACCCTCTTTGAACTCCTCTAGCTCCACCACTGCGGTCGTTTATTAAAATTTATTCCATGATTCTTTGCCACTTATAGAATTATACATAAACGCAGAACATTCGATTCCGAGCGTACGCTAGATTTATTCAAAGTCGCTCCAGGCACATTATCACCGGTGGCAACCGCTTTAAATTTACAATGTCACTTTAGGACGCTTACACCGAACGAATCCTCAAGTACATCGAAGTATTAAATATTTCAAACTTCCCTCCGGAATTCGATATGGTAAACTGGCGTGGCAATCAACGCGTTAACCAATAATATCAACTGTTTCCACGGCCGTGCGAAACATTATCGCGCGGGAATTCAGTAATAATCGTCCGGGCGGCCACCCTTGGCGATCGGACTTGCAAATTGCTCGCAAGACAAAGAGTGCAACGAATCCGACGAACGCGCGAAATACACGGCGTTGACCTAGGCACGATGCACCGATTCGCTCGAAACAACGATCGTCGAGGACTATATTTGCATTCACCGGGAGCAGGTTGACGACATGGCAAGAGGAGAATAGATTAATGGGAGGAACGGAACGGATAGACATTGTCACTGGATATCAGATGAGAGAGTTAAAGGCCAGGTGAGTCCTCGATGCATCGGGGATGACGTTACAGAGAGATGACATTACCGCCGCGAACGATAGAAACTGGAGTCGACGAGGAGAGATGCTGTCCATCCCGACGGAGAATGGCACATCGATATCGACAGATCGATGCTTAATGTCGGCCAGACCCGCTCGACGAACGATCGTCCGCGGCAATTTCGCGCGTGCAACAGCCTAGGACAGTGGTGCACAAAGTTCTGACTCGAATTGGCCCACTCGTTCGGGGTCATACAACCCACGAAATATAAATTAAAAACGAGTCGAACGACTGTAGGTGTTCTAAACGAGATATTTGTTTCTCTCTTGGGTTGATGCAGAGATCGATAGTCGTGGAGTGTCCACAAACTTTTTGACAGAGGATAGATCTACCTAATCTCCAATCGATATACCAACCGATGATCTATTTCGATCCGTCGGTAACTTACGACCGTTGCATAGTACAAATTAATTAAAACCTGAAATTACCTGAAAGTCTATTTAAATAAGAGAGTGCAATATAAATTTACTGAATCGACATTTCACGCAATCAAACATGATTTGATTACTATTACGAAGTTATATTTTGGATATGAAAAGGTTAAGAGCCTCGTAGCGTTCCATGCATCATGTGAAAAGCAATCGATGGTTAATGTTGCGTTTTCGTATCAGTTACTCTGAGCGTTGCACGACATTTAGATAGAGGTGTACGTTATTTTACTTTATTTGACCTACTAGCGAGAAGGGTTGTGCACCACTGGCCTAGGCAGATGCACTTGGTGCCGTTAATCAAATTCGTCCGCGTGGACGTAGAAAGATATTAATTGACTGGATACGAAACGTCGATCGCGCGCGCATGCCTCGAACTACTTTTCCGCATCGCGAACCGTCCGTCCGCGTGATTTATGGCTCGTGTGCCGATTAGATTTTATTGGGGTCTTAATTAGCTGGTAATGGCGTACCGCGGCTACCGAGCTTTACCTCCGCAAACGTGGCTGCTTTCGTTCCTTTCCATGGCGATTCCCCTGCGTTCTCTCTTTTTATCCCCAGCTCTCGAACGACGATCGATACGAACAAGATGGTGCAACGTTGGGCTAATTTTAATCAAAGCAACGATCGACGATCGCGATCACAATCGTTTATCACTCGAAACGAGTTACGATTTTAAAACCCTGAGTTTTACCGAGAACATCAACGGTTCTTTCTTGTATCAGAATCAACAGAGAATGAATCATAATTTGAAAATAAAAATTTTGTATTTTTAAATAGTTGAAATATAAATTTCATTGGATGAATCGTTGGGAGCGGATAGCTTCGATGATCGACAAACATAAACCGTGATTAACTCCGACGACATTTTCAGTCGATTAATTAATCGAGAACTGGTCGATCAATGCCCAACTCTGATACGATTATCGTCCAGAAAATGAACGTTATCGACGTTTGAAAAGATCGAAAGGCAAATATAGTTTCTATCCCGACTCTGTGTAAGCGATAAGAATAATCCGCTTTGTCCGACTCCGTTTCTTTCCAACGAAAGCGGGGCTGACTTCTTCCATATACCGTTCGAATACCGTTAAAAATCCGGATCCTTCGCTTAAGCGTAAACAGAATCGAAAAGTTATCAGTACACTTAAGACCCATTGTTCGTATACAGTTCCAACTTACGTGAAATGGTTTCTGTGGGGTAATATATCTCCCTCTCCTTCCCGAAAGCTTCACGCTCGTATTTGGTTATTCTCGGAGCTATCGAATGCTTACTAACGTCTACCGAATCTCCTCCACTCTTTATACAGAATCTCGCATGCTTATCTTATCTCCTAGAAACGCTAAAGTTCAATTTATCAACCTAGCACGCTTACCCCGCAGAAAAGAAACGTAGATTACTTTATTCATCGATGAAGTAATTTTCATAATCGTGATCACGGTAAATAAAAACTCATTTCTATAAATATCCCTTATCTGAAACCTCGCAGGTGGTATTAATTATCGAACGAAGTACCTTGAGAATACAGACGCAGTCTCGATTAGAAAATTGGACGTTTTTCGAATCACTGTGACACGAAAGTTACGAAAGTTTTTACGTAACTGCCTCGAACGATGATAAACGTTAACGATCCGCGAGTTTAGCGACTAGGAAGCACCCGTCGCGACCACCCCCATCGTTCTTCCTGCTTTTTCGCGGGGCCACTTCGTTTCGTTCCGTCGGAAAGCATCGAATCGGTTCCTGGACGGTAGCGGCGAGATTTAAAACCGGTAGCACCGTATGCACGGGACCGGATTGTATATTTTTAGAACGCGCAGCGTCCTCGCGTGGGCGGACACCGCTGGTCACCGGTCCAGGAACCTGCGCCACTTTTCTCTCCAGTATGCACGATGATCCCCCGCTTTGTTGGCACATCAGACCGCGTCGATTTTTCGCCGCTCGAATTTCACGTCAACTCCAAAGTACCAAGCTCGGGTCCGATGGACTCCAATATTCCCTTTCGCGTTCGCGTTTACGTCCAAACATCCTCGTCTGATTTTTACTTATTTCGTGCGTTGATAAATTCTATGGAAAATCGTCCTAATACAGTGGAGAAATATCTCTGGGGGTTTGTAGGGAAAAAATATTTAAATTATGGAAGAGATGGCGAATCATAGAAGAGCGTGGCACGTATGTTATTGATCGATTAGATTTTGATAAAGAAATACGAATGGATTTGTTGCACAATTTGATATTTTTCAATTTTCAGTATCCTTTAAGGGAAGATAGTCGATGCAAAGGTAGGTATAGTATTCTGGGGTTAATCGTGGACGACTCCGCGATCAGTGGCGCTCCCAAGCGGGGTGCAACGAA